TCAATATAATATATTTTTAATGTTACTTATATGCATACCAACACATTATGATTTAATAATTATGGAGTGAAATATTGATTCATTGTTCATTGATTGATTCTCACAATGAATCAGTTATATGGAACCCCAAACATGAGCAACATAAAAATAAAACCAGAGTAAATAACTTGCCTAACTGCATTAAATAATACATGTTTAGTTGCGATATCAGAGTAGTAGACCTAATGATAAATATTATTATAAATTATCCCTGCGTTTATGTTGCTCAGGGATAATGTAGCTTAGGGGCTTCTTTTGGGCTATCTTCTATTTTGAAAAAACCCCCAGCGAAGCGGGCACGGGTCAGCTAGTAGATCCTATAAAGGTTTCTTTTTTCCTTTTGAGGTCGGAACCCTAAAAAGGACAAACTGGGATTATTGTTGTATGTGTAGTTTTTTTTCGTTCACTCTGAGAACAGTGAAGCGCTGTATAAGTATATGACAGCGGCCGCGATTGCCCTAACGTCCATCATCATCTAGCTACCAACGCAGAATGAAACACGCCAACGTGTGAACGGTACCACGAAAATCTGCCGAGTGCGCTCGCCAAGCGCGCTCGGCCAACGTGTACTGGAGCCATTAGGGTTTATATATTTTTTATAAATATTTATTAGGTTATTCCGTATTATTTTTATATATACTATAGAGCATTATTATACATAATTTGATTACGATTTATGATATAAGATTAAAATGCACTTGATGACTTCACTCAACGCTACCATTGAACAAATTGGTACTTTTACTTCGTACCCACACTTCAGAATATTGATCATAATTTTTGATAGAATTAACAGATTTTAATAAAACAAAGACTAAATTTAACACAAAGATACACTTTATGATTTTCTTAATAATTCTGTTAATATAAATCAGTATTTTATACGTGATACGTTAACAAATAAACAAACCGAAGGACAGACAGACACAATAGTAAAAATTAGAAATGTATTTAATTATTTATTTTTAGTCTCTGTTACATAAATATGAAATGTACAGACATCTGCCATTTACATTTTTGTTATATGTATAGATATGTATAGATTTTTAGTCCCTCTTAATAACTTCTGTTACAAAAATATGAAATGTACAGACATCTGCAATTTACATTTTTATTATATGTATAGATTCTGTGGTCTTAGATCTAAAGAGTGACAATGTATTTACATTTTCTAAGATATATTTATGTGTCAGCATCAACTTACTATCGGGTGGACTATGTGCATTCTCGCTACGCTTGTTCTATAAAAAATGGTATTCGAAAGTTGCCGAGCTCCCCATTAACCATGGGAACAATGCGATAATATAGAAACATTTTTATCTAACTATTATCAAAATTCTTATTTAAAGCCACCGTTGTTCTTTAATGACCACGTTAATCGCGTGCTCAAAACATTCCATCGCTATCTAAATGATTAATTTACAGTGTTGGGCGACTCCCCACAGATGGGCATATCAAAATTTTTTTTTTTTTTATCAGTGGTTTATAAGTAAGATGTAAGATTTTTTTTTTATAAAACGTGATGATATCTTTTTCCCTATTTTTAAATTATATTTGTGCCTTACTGTGGTTCGTTATTTGTAGAATATCAACAAAATACGGCGTCTATCTTTCCGTCTGTTTACAATCTAGGCGTCTTCAAGGAGTAGGCGAGAGAGTGAATAGGCTTCTGTTACGCTCAAAATAAATACCATCTAGGGCTTCATCACCACATAACACCAGATGGCATTGTAATCAAGCACTGGCTTATAATAATAAAAAAAAAAAAACGATTACTGAGTACATCCCGTTGTTTCCAACATTGATACCGACGGCTATCGTAGTTTTTTTTTCTGAGATACCAAATTTTATAACGACGTTTGAGAAATGAAATTTTAATTTATTACGTAGAAAAAATAAAGATGTCATTTTATTGCATCAGAGCTTTCCTATGATTTAATTAAACGTGATATCATATACAAAAAGATATAGTTCATAGAAAGAGTAAATCATATAATTACGGCATTGTAGTATCTGCTACCTAGTTAAAATCTTCTGGTATGTCATTGTGAGTTATGGCTGTTGTTGAAATCAGTCACCACTCGCCAAATGATGTTTTTATAAGCGATATCGAGCACGGTGAAATATTACGAATATTAAAAACACCTAGTTTGCGACTGCGCACGAGATATGGTGTCACACATATACGGGCTGACACTTAAGTACTGCGTAAACTACTTTTTCGTTCTTAAAAACTATGTTAATGAAATATTGACTGTAAAAAGACTTAAAGAAAGTATACTTACTGAGTTTATTTCGCCGTACTTTGTCTGGTTGCACCTCATTTCGAAACAATTGTAGATTTGGGAAAAAATTACAAAGTAACGCCAAAGTGCATTCTTAAGAGAGATTTTTCATTGGCCAATACCGTTAACGATATATCGTCGCCGACTTACGTGGTAGAGCCATGATGCAGTGATATTATGGTTGTAGCACAAATAGAACGGCTAGACCTGGGTAGGACTACGCTCTCACAGAATACCAGCGTAAAATAGCAGCTTAATGCTTCTGTGTTTCGTATGGCGAGTGTAGTTAATTGGAGATTCTTTTTACTGAAAATGAGGCATTCCATCGTAGTCCTCAGGGGTGACAACGCATCTGCATTTTGCTTCTTAATCAAGGATAGATGTAGATGTTTATGAGTCACAGCATCCACTTGTCATCAAGTGACCTGTGTGCTCCTTTATTCTATAAGAAAAAAACCTCATTTAACGACACTGTACCGATGTCGTGGCAATAATACAGAACCTTCATGCCTAAACTAGATTGACATATTATTCTATTTATTCCATACGGCGGGCAACAATTTATACTTATTACCTGCTTTACTTTTGTCTTAAAAAAAGATTGAGTTTTAGACATTGATTTATATGTTACACTTGTCTTGTATAACTCAATGGTTTTAGAAGTGAGGATTCGGAATCATTCTCTTGGTCTATTATCGTAAATCTTTAATCGTAAACCTATTGTTTGATATAAATGTATTTTTAATATCGGCTGCGGATCTCTAAAACAATATTTATTTTTTATATTAGAAAGATTGAATATGAAAAAATACTTATTGAAAGTAATTGTTTTATTCACCATCGGTTTGGAAAATATCTCTGTCATGGGAAAAGTCAGCAAGAAACCCTGCTCTTTTTTAAATTAAATTTAAAAATGTAATTATATAGAATACCTTAATTTTTCTATAATGCATTTCAGTTTCCTAATTAATTCGTAAATGTGTCCTTTCATTTTTAAACATGTATATTTAAACGGGTATTTATATTTGTATCTGTAAATAGACTTTAAAAATCTTCAAGATTACTTTTATATAGCTTTTGAAATCTTTGTGTGTTTATTGTTTATACGGCATTACTACATGTCGAGTAAAAAATTAACCGCTCTATTCGTGCACGTCAAATTTGACAGAATAATCACAACTTTAACATGTTGCGTGCTGTCACGACCAGGATTTAATAGCTAGTTATTTTTGGATAAAGCTATAATTATGTAGATAACTAGACAATGCGGTAATACTGCATTATATCCGAAGAATTTTTCTAACATTAAAAGGATGCCCTCGTCCAGTTCTGAACCCGTTTTACCACATATTGTGGTCAGTAATAGAGGACATGACCTGCTTTGAACGCAGCTCGCAACGATATCGTGTCGCCGAAGAAATCTTTACAGCTACACTAAACTTCCCATGGAGACAGTGTGTAAATCCATAGATTCGTCGGCCGCCTTTGAATGTGAAGTGTTTTCAATAATAGCTTAGATTTTAATGAATATCTACGGCTCAGGACTGTGCTTTGTGGCATAACTTGAGGGAGGCCTATGTTCAGCAATGGACTTGTGAAAGACTGTAATGATGATGATGATGATGAGAACTTATGGTCATACTAGGTAAATAAATTACTTTGTAGTGCACATGAATACAAAAAAAAATTACAGATCGTGGACGAAACTTATACACTTATATATATATATATGAGAGTAACCAAATTTTAAACTTAAGTTAATTAAGGCTTCTACTTTTATTTGGAAAATATCTCAAATTGCTATATATTTATTGATATTTATAGACTCGTACACTACGAATGCATTTATCTCGATCGGTCTAATAGCAAGAATTTTAGTGTAAAATTTTATTTACAATCTATAGTTTTCCATTATGTTGATTATCATATTAAATAATTTGCTAAATTAGACTCTTGGCTACAAATTTACAAAATTGTTGTTACAATAGCAGGCACGCAATCACGCAATATTTAATGATAATTTAAAAGATCTGAAATTATCTTTGCTTAAATTATCAAACGTAACTCTTTTTGTATCGTTGGTAAAATGAGAATATACTAGTTTTATATAGTTTCTTCCGATTTGAACAAGTTTCCTCTAATATCTATGATGCTAAAATTTTATCCATTATCTCGTCATCGTTCGGATAAATCACGAGATTTTCCGAACGGAAGAAGACTGAAACTGTTGTTTCTTAACTTTAACTTAATTCTGTAACAGATACAACAACACTTTCTTACGTGGTAGAGCCATGCTGCAGGTATATTAGTAGTATAGTTGTAGCACGAATGGGTCGGCTCGACCGGGGAAGGACCACGCTCTCACAGTATACCAGCGTAAAATAGCAGCTTAACACTGCTGTGTTTCGTATGGTGAGTGTAGAGAACCGGAGACCCTTTTTGCTAGAAACGAGGCATTCCATCTTAGTCCTCACGGATGACAACGCATCTGCATTTTGATTCACAAACTATGTAGATGTCTATGGGCTACAGCAACCACTTACCATCAGGTGGACTGTGTGCTCGTTTGTCACCCTATCCTATAAAAGAAAACAGATTTTGCTACACTCCCACACTTAAACAATATTTACCAAGCAAAGCAAGTTAATCTAATTAAATAAAAATCTATTATAACAGGCTCAACTACAAATGTCCACTTGGATTTAATGCGGCGGAGTATTACGTCTCTCTGTTAGGAATAGAAACAGACAAGGAGGTAGAGAGTCGCGAAAGGATCCGTCGCATCTGCAACGAATACCAGCGGTCACAGTTCGCGACTGCCATTGAGAACCAGATAGGAGACATCAAGGATGAACACGAATACTTCAATGGTACCGTGGATGAAAAGGTAATGAAATTCGTTTAAGTATTTTTTTTTGCCAATTTCATACAATATCACATTACTATTGTGAAATACTAGTAGCTTATTGCAAGATATTGACAGACATTTAATTTAAATATGTATTGAAAATTATAAAGGTTTAAACTGTAGTAATATTTGGGTTATTTGAAAAAATCTATTTATAATTTTAGGTTATGGTTATAATACAATAGCGTCCTCTAGACCTAGAATTTCGGTCACGGTGGCCAAGAGAGTAGCCCTCTGCGTCAAACAGAATTATACTGCATGTGTTCGCAGACACAGGTGCGCTCTCTATTCCTTTACTCTTTATAATCCAATGGGGAAGTTCTTCATGACCGGAGAGAGAGCGCAACACTTTTACTTGCTTTTTGGGGCACGGGCTGAAACACCGCCAAATATCTGACTCCCAGTTGCTACTTAGAATTTCTTGTCAGATTAACTGACAATAACTGATTTTGGCCGTACCCGGGTTTCGAACCTGGGACCACATTATCGGCAGTCGCACTTACGACTCCCAGACCAAGCAGTAAATAATCATAATACAAAGAGCATCTTACCATCGCCAGTCCGAATATATATAGATTGGTGTTTATTTTAATGTCTTTCGGAGGATCTAGGACACTAATGCAGATTATACGTAACTTATAAAATGAAATGGAATTTAAACAGGCATATATATATATATATATATATATATATATATATATATATATATACAATGTATATGTATAGCCACAGAATAAATAATAGTACTACGTATATAGCTCTTTTCTTACAATGTTGATACTAGTGGACGTAAGAACTAAATTGCTCCAAAGTACAGTGTAACATTATTTAATATGTGGTACAGTCAAGTGTGTGTGGATATTATAAAAATTATTGTTAAGACAAAAAAGAAAATTCTACATTTCATTCGGTCTCCACCTTATTAGACTGTAATAATTGTAAATGCGAATGTGTTTTTCACAAAGTTATGGGAACTTGGCTGAATAACAAATTTCTAACAGCTTTTACACAAACATGTTGTGGTTAAAATTAAATTCAATAATACATAATATGTACATATTATTTTCTAGCATATTTATCATCATAATAAATACATAAAGAAAGTAACGCCACGAACGGACTTGTTCTTGTTGTGGACAACAAAGGTCCAATTAACAGATTCTCAGATTCAACAAACGGCGATGTGGGTTACATAAAGATAATTTATGTAAAAGTAAAAATATCTAAAGCTACGGAGAGTTCTCGCTTTAATGACATCGTTTGTCAGTCAGATTGAGATTTTATGTCGAATAAAATTTATCTGTATGTGTTTATTTAACATCTGTTTAAAAAAAAAAGTTTTCTTTGATAATAACTGTCTACAAAAGAAACTTCATATGTAGGTACTTTATGTATGCTGGTAACCTGAGCTTGAATTCCAATGCAGTTACCGCTTAAAATTTTATGAACGATAATTCAGTTAAGACTTGCACTACCAAAAACATATTTCGATGAACGGAAAGTTAGCCGAAAAGTGTAGTGTGTTGATACTATGTTGGCGGCATTTTCGTCACACTCTTGCTTAAGGTCTATAATACGAGTATAAAAATAATGACTAATGATAGTGATGGTGAAAAGCAGTACGTGACTGTTCGTCTGATCTATGGTACAGATTTTTCTTCATCTAACCGCCGTCCCATTAACGGCTTTATCCCGCTTTACCATCTTAATAATAAAAAAAGACCAATGTCCAGCGGAAGGATATTAATTATTTTTCCACTTGAAAATTATTATAAATGCGTTAAAACATGTTTTTTTAAAATAATTTCCTACATATTACCAGCATTGAATATTAATATTCTTAAAATTTTTTATCTAGTCCAATGGATTATAAATTATGAAATTGTAATACGATCGGATAACCTCTTTAAGTGGCACTCTATACTTTTTATGCTTTGAATTAATTAAAATAAAACAAGTATATATTTCTGCTTCGACAACTTTGGTCAAGTTGAAATTTTAATTTGTACTTTTTTTGTTGTAGAATGCATACTTCGAGCGATATTTAACACTGTAAGTAGATTTATTTTTATATTCTTTTAAACAACTGTACATAAAATAAATAACCGTTTAGTGTTTTCTAATGTATTTTCTAATATAAAATATATAATTTTACGTGGTAGAGCTGCATCTATGCTGCAGCTATATTCTTAGTCTTAGGTATAGTTATAGCACGAATGGGTCGACTCGACCGGGGAAGGACCACGCTCTCACAGAATACCAGCGTAAAATAGCAGCTTAATGCTGCTGTGTTTCGTATGGTGAGTGTAGAGAATCGGAGACCCATTTTACTGGCAAAGAGGCATTCCATCTTAGTCCTCACGGGTGACAACGCATCTGCATTTTGATTCGAAAAAAAAATGTAGATGTCTATGAGCCGCAACAACCACATATCATCAGGTGGACTGTGTGCTTGTTTGTCACCCTTATCTTATAAAAAGAAAGTATGACATGTTTCACTTCGGAATGTTTAAATTAAATGTCTTTTTTCAGAGTCAAAGTGAACTATTTCGTTCAGTTCTATTGGTTGCTGTGGAGAAATATACTTGCGGTTAAACACAACAGTTCCACATGGATAGCTGAATTTTTTCTCCTAATGGTAAGACAATTTTTCTTAAAGATTCATATCTTATAAATACCTACAGACTGATTATGTTTTCGTCGCAAAATATAGATAAACGAAGTACAGCCCTATGGCATAATATGAAATTTATCTTTCAATTTTACCTAGCGGCCAGCTTCAAGGTCTAACAGATTCAGTGATAATAATAATTGCCAAATTCTAATCATATACAAAGTATGGTGTATATGATTAGAATTTCGATACTGTTTAATTGTTTTATTTTTTCAAAATTAAAAAGTTTGCTTTAAAAAACATCTAAGCCATAGCTTTTCCTGCATTCGCCTATTGTAGATTATTTTTCCTCAACCGTAAAAAAAGTAGTCAGTAAAATATATACAACCGTAAAATATTAGCTGCAGCACGAATGGGTTGGCCCGACCGGATTACGACTACGCTCTCACAGAATACCAGCAGCAAACAGCTGAATAATGCTGGAGAAGAATAAATATGGTGAATGTAGAGAAACGGAGACCCCTTTTACTAGTAACGAGGTGGGATTATGTCTTTGTCTTCATGGGTGACAATGCAACTGCATTTTGATTTCTAATTGATTATAGATGTAGATAGGTACTACGTTCTTACGTACTTCTTATCCTACTACTTCTTATACCCCGTTAATTTTCGCATTGTAAACAATGTATGTATCATAGGATCTTTAAGAATCATTTTAAGATCATAGAATATTTTATCTTTAATCTTTTATTTTTAATAAAAAAAATATTTTTTTATTTAAATTACGTAATATTCCTTAAAAAGATAGTTAATCGTTTTTTTAATTATTTTATATTTATGTTCAACTGCATTTAACCTGCACTTATATACACTTCATCTTGTGTATAAGAGAATATTAGTTGTTATAAACACACAAAAACACAAAATTAATTTACTCGAGTCTAATCAATTTACTTCTTTGAGTATATATAACCCATAGCTTGATTACGAATACTATACGGTTCACGTCAATCAGGCGTAATCGTTATGGGCGTTATATGGCCTCAATAAAAACGACCTTCCCTCATGGGAGATTCTCATGGTAAACCTGTTAGGTACTTTATAGACAAAACATAATGTAAATTAAATTATTTTTAACTGAGTTCAAAAATAAAGGAGGTTTTGTACGTTCCCCGATTTCTCGAAATAGGCTAAACTGATATAAATATTTTTTTATTAAATAGGCCTTAGGCGTCCCAGTTAAACTTGAAGAAATACACCTTCGGGGTGAAATAGAGGGCGCACTGAAAACCAGCTTCGTGGATAATACCACGAAATAATGCTGAGTGTAGCCCTTTTATACCAAACCCACACACATAATAAAATTTTGATTGTAATGATTTTATTTATGTTTTAATTTTGTTTTGATCTGTAATTATAAGTTTTTTAGTGCATAATATCTTTTGTAACATGTGTGTTGGTGTTTGATGTGATAAATAATTTTTCTTTCTTTCTTTCAAATATTAAGGCGATGATTTTTTATTATAATTTTAAGATGACAATCTATTTGTTACCTTGAGCTTGTGATATTGCTTTAGTCCACTAAAAAGGGTAAAAATGAAACTATTAGTAAAAACCACTTTAATTAAAAACTAAAAATAATAAAACAATTTGCACACACAATAGCTTCTGAATTCGGAGCTTTAATATTTCGATGCACTATGTCTTAGCACCGACTTCTGAAGATGTTAAGTGTCAGTCTATACAAATAAATCAAATTCAATTGTCTGTTTGTAATGTTAAAATAACACAGCTTTTTATTAAATGCATATGAAAGTATATACGATCTAATAACAAAAAATATATTTTTAAAATTTTGTCTGTCTGTCTGTCTGTTCCGGCTAATCTCCGAAACGGTTAGACCGAGTTTGACGGAACTTTCACTGGCAGATAGCTGATAATGTAAAGAGTAACTTAGGATACTTTTATTTTAAAAACAAAATTGGGGTTCCGCGCAAAAAAAATTAAAACCCATGAGATCGTAGTAAATTCCACGCGGGCGAGGGACAGCTAGTTTTTAATAAAAGCTTATTTTTTTAAATTAGCGACTAATTCTAACCTAAACTAAACCTTTAACGTATTTTTTTTCTCCATTTAGTTCGTAGGTGTTATTATATCGGTGCCTTATGCTGGTCTCTTCGAAAGTTTGGACCAGCGGGATATCCAGAATGCCGAAGGTCTTCTTTACCTCACAATTACGGAGACCATCTTCCTTTCCATATACGCAGTGTTCATCACGTTCCCCAGCGAAGTGCCAATACTACTTCGGGAAACCGCAAGTGGACTGTATTCTCCGTTGCCATACTACTTATCAAAGATGGTATTCTGGGTATGTAAATAATAGTACCGCCTTATTTTAATCTATTGGTATATTTACTTTTTTTCTGAGAAGGTATTTGGACTTGGAAAGCATCCACCGCGCTATACCACTACGTGTTTTTGAATTTCATTTCATGACCTTTAAATGTAAAAGACTTCTGTCAGAAATGAGAGGAGACCTGCGCCAAGGTTTTATATATAGAATAAGGGTGACAAACATACGTTTCTATTTCTGCCTATGTCACTACTCCAAGCAACAAGAGACAAGTAGCCGAAAAATTTGTTTGACCGAGAGAGCATAATTACGGACTGTGACGTCATATTCCACATTTCATTGGGATTGTAAGATCGTTTCTCGCTTATAATATAAATATACATGATAATAATTAAAAATTTAAAATTTTGTACAAACGACTTCGATTTAAATTATTAAGAATAATTCAAAAACTATTGGTCAGACCTTGATAAAATTTATATGGGCCCACATGAGAAGCACCTGCTTTCAAATAAAAAAAGAATCATCAAAATCGGTTCACCCAGAAAAAAGTTATGAGGTAACACACATAAAAAACAAACAGTCGAATTGAGTACCTCCTCCTTTTTGAAGTCGGTAGAAAATGAAATAATCTTCTTTATATATAAAAATTACGTGTTTCATTGTTTGTCCGCGATGAACTCTTAAACTACTGAACTGATTTCAATGAAATGTTTCACAATGTGTGCAGTTTGGTCCAACTTGAGAGATAGGATAGTTTTTATCCCGATAAGTGACCCTCAATTTTTTTTATTGTGAATTTTTTTAAGACACATGGTTCTCGGAAAGGGCAGAACAACGTCTGCCTGGTCAGCTAGTAAATAATAAAAATATAATAAAAAAGCAAGTATAAGTCCTACATGCGACAGTAGCCAATGGATACGGCTATTGTGCACTTCTAGCATTTGAAACTTGGTTGGATAACTGTTGAGTGGATAACGTTGCTAGTTTTCTTTTTAAATAAGTACATAGTGAACTTTTATTAATATAAAAAAATCATTGGTAGTCAATAAATACAGATCATTTTTGTAGTCAGTTGTATCTGGACTTGACGCTAATGTTTGCAGCAGATTTTAATCAATGAATTGCAAAAATAGAGACAAGTAGTAATTGATATAAATAAAAAATTGTTAAATTACGTAGGATTTAGTTCTTGCATGAAAAATTTCTTATTTCATCTCCTGGCGTAGCAGGTTCGCATGCAGTTTGTTTACCAATATCAAATTTAAAGCGAACTCTTTGCCCCGCAGTAATATATTTTATGTATATATACGTAGTTCATCTTGGAGGTTATTCTTACCAAATTTGTGATATGCATTTGCCTTGTAATTTGTATTATGAATTCAAATATTTTTTTATAATAAAACTAAAGTGACAAACGAACTTACTGTCCACCTGTTGGTAACTGGCTACTGCGGTCCATGGACACCTGCAGCCAACTTCAAACAAAGAAGGCTACAGGTGCGTTGTCAGTTGTCACCTCAGAGGACTAAGGTGAAATGCTTCACAGTCTATAATTACACTGGATCTCCACAAGAGTGCAAGCGCTGCTATTGAGCTCCATAAATAGATAAGAGGGAGAGAGATAAGAGATGGAAAAGGAGCCCTATCACTTAGTAGAGGTGATCTGACTTTCATATTAGTATAGTTAACGTAAATGTATGCGTGATAAAAAAAATTAATTAGGAGTTACGGAATTAATTACAAGGTTTTTCGATGGTTTTATAATAAACTAGCTCGTCAGGCAGACGTTGTTCTGCCCTTTCCGACGACCCTTCCTATAAAATTCCTTAAATTCGCAATAAAAAAATTTGAGGGTCATTTAGCGGGATAAAACTATCCTATCTCTCAAGTTGGACCAAAATTCACACAGTGTGAAAAATTTTATTGAAATCAGTTCAGTAGTTTAGGAGTCCATCGCGGACAAACAACGTGACACGTAATTTTTATATATAATAAATAAATAATTTATAAACAATGGATATGATGGACCTTTGTTGACTTTGATTACCACAAGTTCTTAGTGACAAGTACAAATTATCTAGATTGTCAGTATTTGATATTGCTTAGGTTTAATAATATACAGGATTATTTTTCAAAGAGTAGCCAAATTTTAACCTTAAGTTCAAATATATAATAATAAAATATACCGTTATTGCAGTTTTTTCAAATACGAGTAAATAAGGCTTCTACTTTTATTTGAAATGATCCTAAATTGAATGTAATTTATAGGCAACACCGTTTTTGTCTACCTATCGACACTTACGAATGTGTTCGTGCGCAGTAAAATCAGTTAAAATAATCCATTACCACGCATTTTCAATTTAACAGATAAAAATTAGAGAATGTTTGAGATTTATTTAGTTAATTTTTCTTCCATCTTCACTTGCCTATAATACAAATTTGCAATATGCAAATTTGGCCGGTTATTGCAAGATAACCCTGTATAGAATAGTAAGTTCGAGCCAACATAACACGTAAAAAAACAATTGATAGATCTTGAAATGCAAGTTCTCGTACCTCATATCTGAGACAGCATCTTTTTAAGAACGTTTGAGTGGACTAACGAATCCAGCGAAGTTAGAGGCTACTGCAGTCAAACCAAACAACCAGGCAGACCAAAGATACCAGAGACCTTCAAACAAATCAGGGGCTATAGATGCATTGTCAGACTTGAGGACTAAAATAGAATTCCTCATATCTGTAACTATACGATGTCTCTTATCTTTAAATGTGTGTGTGTGCGCTGCCTCTTAGCAGTAAAAATAGGTTACAGTGTGGTACCGACCCATACAGATTCTTAGGAGAAAAGAAACCCTACCACGTCGTACAACATCGAAACTATCCGAGCTTATCGCAAACTAGTTGACAACTAGAGTTGCCAACTCCATTTTTATGTTCTAGAGGATTTGATAAGATTAAATAAAGAACATTTGACAGCTCCGTGGTCGTGGCGACACTGGTCTTAGCAATGAGCTGCAGCGCTATGGGCCACGGGTTCGAATCCCGCACAAGTAATATGGCCTATTAATAATTGTTCGGGGTCTGGATGTTTTTCCTTGTGAAATTTATCTAATTAAACTGCCCTCACGTTCCAGGAGAAAATTATAGTGGAGATAATGTTTAAAAAAAATAGGGAATATCATATTGTTTTCAATGATATATATCAGTAGCTGTTAACATATACCATAGTATTAGAAGCGACATTAATTAATAAAAAACCAATGTTAATACGCAATGTAACAATTTGTCTCTCTAACATCGCGCGTTACCTCAAAGTGATTTTTAAACTGTTTTTTTGACCTCGTCTGGCAGAGGGAACGTACAATACGCGCGATATTGCCTTGATTAAATATTTCAAATTAGGGGACAAGATGTCATTTTGGGTGTGAAATAGAGGACGGCCTTTAAAATAAAGGACGTCTCTTAACCCTAGTGACAATGCATCTGAAACTTTATTTACCAACCGACTTCAAAAAAGGAGGAGGTTCTCAATTTGACTGTATTTTTCTATGTGTGTTACCTCAGAACTTTTTCTAGGTGAACCGACTTTAATGATTTTTTTTTATTTGAAAGCTGGTGCTTCTCTTGTTGTCTCATATATACATTAAATCAAGATCTCATCAGTAGTTTTTGAGTTGTCCTTAATAATGCGTACTTAATTGACTTCGACTACATTGATGATTTTCTCATTTTAATTATATTGAAGTCGGTTGTACAAAATTTTTAATCTTACCACTAGGTATCAATGGGCTGCAATAACCACTTACGATTAATCGGACTGTAAGTTCTTTTGTATTTCAGTTTCATTAAAAAAAAAAACTTTAACGGAAATAAGATAGTTTTTTACCTACCACAATCCTTCGAAGTTGCCCAAAAACCTAGCGAATTTATTGCCTTGGTCTAGAGTCTAGACTGTCTGACTGAGCTAAAATCGTCATGTATTAAGTACTTAATTAATTTTTAAGGGTTTAACATAATATATACATTGTATATGTACCTATATTTATTATAACAATATGTATTAGTAAATATATTGCGTGTGATTGTATAAATTTCTGTTAATTAACATAAAAACTATGCTCATAAGTGATTAATGAATACAATTTGTTAATGTACTGACGTATTTACACAATTTCTTAATAAATGTTATCACTTTGATTAATGACTAGTGATGAAACATGAAATATTAAATATTTACACACGTGGCATTTTATTTTATACTAGCGATACGGCCCGGCTTCGCACGGGTGATTTCTGGATTCTACAACTGCGCCACCCACAGGGTCCAACTATGCCTATAACCTTAGCGGAAGTGCAAGCAATATGTTGACGAAGTTTTACCGCAATTTGATGAACGGTGTGGCCGCGCATAAAATACGAACAAACAAATATTAATTTCTATAATATATTAGACTTCGCTAGATCATAATATTTAATATTATATTGTTATAGTAATTACATAAAAGATGTGGGCAATGTAGATTTTTTAATCAAATATCACCCTCACACTTCCATGTTCTATGTTATTTGGTTTTAACCCTTTCGCTGTCCCGTGCACTGCATATAATATGTCATTGCCACAGATAACTATATACTAGTCAGAGAGTCATTGCTATTGTCTTACTATTGTGTCTAAAAACCGGACAGTGAAAGTGTTAACATACCATCAAAATACAGAACAAATGTGTAGGTCATATATTTTTTAAATCATATAAATAATTCCGTACGGAAATCAAACCTTTAAAACAGTGGTCAAATATCTATAATCTTTAAACATTCAAATCGCGAAGTTATTACTCTTTAGCATTGTGGATAGAGTACTCTCGTTAACCTTTTTAATCTTATAAAAAAATAAACAAACTTATACAAATTAAAAATACCTATATTGATTAGATTTTCAACTTTTTTATTTACATAAGATAATATACAATATTAAAAATTATAATAAAAAAAAGAAAAACTAAAACTAGCAACTTAATTATCATACAGTCCTATTAGCTGCGGTATCGTGCCAAGAACGCTGGACGCGTTTCCCCGCTGAATGGCTATACTTAGCCTTTGAGCGAGAAAAGAACCAGCCCTCTTATTACCAGCAGCAACGACCAGTCGCGGATGGAGTTCCTTTAGGAACTTCACCGCATGTGGACCCCACGGACCGATAGTCTCTACAGCAAATGGCACAAATATGTAGTCATCTCTCAGAGACTTATATTTGCGCCACTTACTCAGTTTAGCTGCCTCTGATAGTAGCATCCTACACTAGGGCTTTACCTCTCTCCTAAGGGACCAATGTCATAACGTCGAGTCATAACCGAGGGAACATTTATAGAGACAAGAGCCCTTCGGATGACATCGTTCAAAGAACCGTGCCGTAAAAACCTACCAGCGTTTTTTTTACATGAAAGTCCGTAGAGTCCAAACATAGGGGCATCGATGGGGTTAAGAAATCGCCGCTCCTAGTCGGATTCCTACAGCAGTACGCAAGCTTTCCCCATCAAGTAAAGTCCCGAGATTACTTGATGGTAAAGCGTCTAACCAGTGACTAGATTCCTTAGTCGAAACTGCTAGAAGGCGTGCCCGATCTTGGTCATTGTGGAAATTAAAAACAAATTTTTCTGCACGCTCTGTACCAACGGAATATCCCACTTCTAGTAGGACATTTTCGCCGGGACAGAGCGTTCACCATGTCTGTCTTGCCTCCGTAGGAAAGCACAGGACCACTTTATTATTTAAAATTACGTTACATAAGTCATTGACACTATGCACGGAAGAAACGAAAGCAGGCAATACAACGCTAGAAAGATTTCTCACACCAATACCACTAAATTTTATAGGTAAAGTTGCTTGAGTCCAGGCTGTTGTATTTAAGTAAAATTTAGAATTTTTTAAACTATAATTTAATTTAAAAAAAAACTATATTTGACATAGTTGCCACGCGGCTTGGCAGCCACAGTTTATTTTTTTTATATTCTATAGGTGTTATGAGGAAGACGCTCCTGCTCATCTGGTTTGTTTTTACAATATAACTATTCTCCTTTATTTCTTCAGTAGTTCGTAATAGTTACCTGTTAGACATGATCCTCTGGCAGTTAAAGCAAATCTTCCCTGTGTTGATTCGCCTTAATAGCAACGCTTGGCTGGCCAGTCTGCCTGCCAAGAAGTCTGTTTTCTTTTTCATTTTTCTAAAAAAGTGACAAACGAACTTACAACCCACAGAATGGTAAGTGGCTACTGCATATCAATACCACCATTTTTCTTGGAATAACAAAAGACCCGAAGCCTCATTGGAGCCTCCATATATCAAAACTAGCAAGCAGACTTAGTTCTGCAGCATATGCTGTAAAAAAGATTAGAAATCTTAACAGTGTTGAAACAGCTAGACTTGTTTACTTTAGCTATTTCTATAGCATAATGTCGTATAGTATTTTGCTATGGGGACACGCGACTGAAAGTGAAATTATATTTGTTTTACAGAACAGGGCCATAAGAGCAATCTACGATTTAAAACCTAAAGAGTCGCTCCGAGAAAAATTTAAGGAAATTAATATATTAACTTTGGCCTCTCAATACATTTATGAAAATGTAATGTACGTACACAAAAATAAAAGTAGTTTTACAAAAATAAGTGATATTCATTCTGTAAATACTAGGAACAGACACAAGCTAGTAGTACCAGTTATTAGACTCTTCCGAGTCAGTAATTCATTCTTGGCGCGATGTATCAACAAAATCATCGATCATCGGTCGTCACGCTTTGACAATAAAATCCCGGAAAATATACAAAATTTGACCTGCTCAAAGTTCAAAAACTTTATTAAAAGTCTATATAAAAAGGTATTATAATATTAAGGAATTTATGGATGATAATAACCCCTGGGAGTGAGGTGATTGCTACCAATCTATTACTAATTTGTTTTGAGTGGTTTATTGTGTAACATACATGATTGTAAGCTGTTATTTTTAAAAAATGTCCCACCAGGTTTCGTGCTGGTTCTTCCCAGGATAGAGGTTTTTTTTCGAACCAGTGGTAATCAAACAAAAGAGTGACTTTCAATAAGTATTATTTACAATCTATATTGAATAAAAAAATTTTTGTTTTATGGAAAGCCTTACAGCCTGTTATTATACTGGTTCTCCATACCCTTTGGAATAGACTAAGACAGTGCACGCAGACAGTGTACTTACCCAGACGGACTCCGAGGCATTTTTTAAAACTGCAGATATAATTCTTTTTTATATCTCAAGTATTAAAAACAAATGCATCTTGTTGAATCTGTTGAACTGACCGACATAATTAAAAATTTTAAAATTTTGTACATCCGACTTCAATATAAATTATTAAGAATAACTCAGGTCAGACCTTGATCAAATTTATATGGGACCACATGAGAAGCACCAGCTTTCAAGTAAAGAAAGAATCATCGAAATAGGTTCACACAATAAAAAGTTGTGAGGTAACAACATAAAAAAAACATACAGTCGAATTGAGTACCGTCTCCTTTTTGAAGCCGGCAGAAAAGATATCATATAATTTAAAATTTTGTACAACGTACTTCAATATAAATTATTAAGAATAACTAAAAAACTATTGGTCAGACCTTGATCAAATTTATAAAGGACCACATGAGAAGCACTAGCTTTCAAATAGGTTCACCCAGAAAAAGTTATGAGGTAACACACATAAAAAAACATACAGTCGAATTGATTACTTCCTGCTTTTTGAAGTCGATAAAAAAATAATTCGCCGACGTTAAACAAACACTGAAGAAAATATGTACTTACTAATAATTTATTATTTTTAGGGTTCCGTACCTCAAAAGGAAAAAACGGAACCCTTATAGGATCACTTTGTTGTCCGTCTATCTGTCTGTCTGTCTGTCTGTCAAGACCCTTTTTCTCAGGAACGCGGGGAGGTATCAAGCTGAAATTCATATTAATACTCAAGTCTACTGTCTCTTGGAGCTGTGAAAAAATCAAACTTCTAAGCCAACGCAATCAAAAGATACATATTGTTTATGCCGCAAATTTTCGACATTCGCAAGGGAATCAGGGAATCAAAACTTACAGGGTATTTCCCGTGAACTCAGAATCTTATATTTTGGTGCGAAGCAACGTATTGTAGCACAGATAAAGGAAAAATTGCGAAAAGCTAAAATTTTAGTTACATCATATAATAAAAATATTTTTAATAATTTTAAACTACGGATTTGTGCGGAACCCTTGGAGCGCGAGTCCGATTCGCACTTGGCCGGTTTTTTTACAAATAATAATTTTTTTGTCGTAGACATTTCGGGCAATATCCATATTCAAAAAAGCGCATAAATTAAATATAACATAATAATCACTGTGTTACACGTCGCTTTCGCAGCCCGTTAAAAGTCGGTTCCGCTGAGTAATGAACCGATGCTCCGCATTTGAGTTATTAATTAGGTAAATTTAATAGTAAACCGTGGTAGTTTTTAGTTCAGTTCCAGTCCTAGTCCCAGTCCTAGTCGCAGTTCGATCCTCACACCCCATAGGTATCCAATATGTTGAAATTGTTATTATATTCGATGATTCTGAAGTTTGGCAGCACGCAGTGGAGCAGCCAGCGGAGTTTTCTTGGTCCATAAACCCTATCAGGAATGTTAAGGGTACTGTGTACAACTGTGGGACACTATACATTGTTACTATACGTTTAATTAATGGTGAGTAATCTTTTGCAGATACCGCGGGCGGTTATTGAGCCGATACTTTTCGCTTCGTTAGTTTTTTATGTAGCGGGACTTCAAGGAGGTTTCGTGAACTGGCTGGGTTTCTGTTTTGTGTGCGTTCTGTGCTCAAACTACGCTAATGCTTACGGTAAATATCAAAGATACATCATATTAAGTAATCAACAAAACAAAATGCTAGGATAATTTTGCTGACATGGACGCCGCGCCGTGTAGGTTAGTTAGAATACATAACTACTCTATATATTATTATAAAAAAATAATTAGTATACTGGCATGATTGGTCATTAAATGACTGCACAAATTCTTAGGCCAACAAGAACACTGCTCGTATGAAAATGACTTCGATATGAGTATGTATGTATGTACTATGTATGTACTATGTATAACCTTAAAGTTCGCTTTTGTAGTACACGATTATACAAGGGTTAAAGAAACTATGTATATAATATATTTTTAATGAATAGATAATATATTTTAATATTTTAGCGTTATTTATCAATACTATTAGGTACAAATGTTATGCACAAAAATAGCGTTACATATCTTGACAAGTCGACAGTAAAGCCCAACTATTTCCAGAATTTTCGAAACTTTGCATTTGAAGTGGTTTTTTTTTCTGATAAGTTTTATGTATCTTCTTATTTCCTTAATAGAGGTATTAAAAACTATCTGTCTGCTGAACTCGCTTAAGTGGTCTATTAGAGCTTTTAGCAAGTTTGTTTTAAGATTATTGTAACATTAATATGTATAATGATGATATGGACTTGCAAATTTTTACTATATGCAAATTCAAATTTTTTTGTGGATGTAAAGGTGGGCGCAATCTCAGTCGCGGCTGCTGCTGCTGATATATCCATAATCCATACATTAAATTATTATTAAATATAAAAAGAAATTGAGACATGAATCTTTTTTTAAATTTTATTTAGCAAAAGTAGATTATTTGCATTATTATATTATGTTAAATTTCAGATCAATTCTTGATAATTTTTACATTTGTTTTGGAACGAAATATTAAAAAATACGTTGTAAAACTGACTATATTTTAACTTGAAATTGACGCAGTGATCAAAAGACCGTTTGCTATAAATAACGAAGAAAAACAACACTGAACTTATTTTGCTTCGATAAATACGTACCTAATTCAGTTTGAAAAGGCTATAAAAGAGTATGTGTATAATATACTGCTGGCCGGATGAGGAAGCTCAAGGTTGCCCAAGGAGCTATGGCGAGGGCTATGCTCGGAGTTTCTCTGCGTGATAAACTTAGAAATGAGGATATCCGCAGTAGAACTTGAGCGACCGACATAGCCCAATGGATTAGTAAGCTGAAGTGACAATGGGCCGGCCATATAGCTCGAAGAACCGACAACCGATGGGTAAAAAAGGTTCTCGAGTGGAGGCCTGGTACCGGCGGACGACTTGTAGGGCGACCCCCCACTAGATGGAGTGACGACCTGGTAAGACATGCAGCAAGTCGATGGATGCAGGTGGCTCAGAACCGTGTTTTGTGGCATTCCTTGGGGAAGGCCTATGTTCAGCAGTGGACTTGTGAAGGGCTGTAATGATGATGTATAATATAATTTTCTAAGATTAAATTTACGTCAATTTTCATTTCAGTTAAAATTTAAAACGTCAACGTAAACATTAATGCATAATATTATTTTCAAAGTTATAGGTTGTTAGTTTCACATTATAGTTAGCTTTTAATTTTTCATTATTTACATATAATTCCAAATTTAATGCGCTTAGTGCCAAGAAGAATACAATATTCTAGCAACGATGACATACTTTTATGAATAAATATATGACATTGAAATAGTTTTGATTTTGCTTAATTTCTTTGTTTTGTTAGAAAATATGTATTTAAGAATTAAAATTTCTAATTCACAGGTTCATTTTTATCCTCCGTTTTTGACAAAATGGAGACAGCTGCTTTGGTTTCCGTTCCATTCGAACTCATAGGCACCATGTTTTCGGGCGTCTACCTCAACCTGGCCAGCGCGTTGCCTTACGTCTCATGGCTCCGCTTCGTCTCCGGATTTTACTATGGTGTCGAAAGCATCTCTATCCTTCAGTGGGATTCCATCGAGACTATCGAGTGTAAGACTCCCGGTGTTCCGTGTATTAAGACCGGGCCGGAGGTGTTGAGAAAATATGGTTTCGGTGAAGAGAACTTCTGGAGGAATTGCGTTTGCTTGGTTCTCATGTATTTTGTTGCTCACTTTATAGCGTTTATAATGGTCGTAAAACGGAGTAGAGGAACGCCGGTGTATTAAAATGCAACTGTTAAGTAAAATTCATTAAGATTATTAAGTGTGCGATTATTAACAAATTCAACATTGCCATTTCCTTATGATATTTGGCAACATGACTTTTATAAAGATTTATAGCATAAATAATAGCTCATTTTATAAACGTTAACATTTAATGTAAACAGCTAAATAAAGGTCAAACTGTTAATATTTGATATATCAACTTGTTGTTTAAAATGTATTAGAATAAATATTAATCTTGTCAGAAAAGATTTTTGTGAATGATTTTTATAGAATGGTCACATGTTATTATATAAGGTGTGAGGGTAATACGGTCACATTAAGCTTCTATAAAACCAAAGCTAGGAGGAGGACAGAGACAAAAACACAAAGTATACTATAATACTATACCTAATATATTAAGAAAAAATAACACACAATCTTTGGCAATAATTAGGAATCGAAAAATCAACTTAAAAAAATACTAACTACACTACACAATACTAAAATCAACTAAAATATTTACTATAAGGTCACCTGTCAAAATGGCATCGACAAAGCAGCGCCCTTTTGATCATATATTTTTGATTGACTGATGAAGAGCTATCGTATCACAGAGCCATCCATGCAAACAAGGCTGTAGTTTTTGATATATAAGAAAGTGACCATATTAACCGGAGGACAATAATACTCTCACATACCATACGAGGTATTATTTTGACAAGCCTATAACTACCACGAAATCAGTTACATGAAAAATTTAATGCATAAATAACATTTTTATGTATGTTATAAGTTTTGTTGTAAAATTTACTTACGTTTTGTATGATGTTTTTGTGTAAAATATGTTATGTTTAAGATGTTACACAAGACATTTTTATTTAAGTTAAAGTTATAAAATTTAAATGATGCACTCGAATTTTGTAATTTTTAATAAATAAACAACTTTACTAATAGTTATTTCAATACCACACCTATTGTATGTAAAATGGACTGGACTGAAAGTAATCTTGTTTTATAGTGCACTTATCGATTGTGGTCAAATTTATTAAAACATACGACTGCGTGGTTAAGGTTCCCGCTTGCGAGTTCTGAGTTCGAACCCCAAAAGGAAACAGCATTACTGCCAAAGGGAAAAATGTTGCTTTTCGCGGTTGGTAAAGTCCAATGTAATGTAATCGCCTTATAAATAAAATCAAATAAGCTTTTTAAATGAGAAAGAGTGATAGCCTTAATCGAAAGTAACCAGGGACACATCACATTTAGCAGTATTATGTCAAGATGTATAGTGTGTGTCCGCGTCATCACCAGATTCTAGAACCGTAGTACTTCAAGTACTGGAATAAATGGTTTGAATCTTAACAATAAACCACCCATCGCCACGTTGTATAAGAATAAACGTAAAAAAAATTATTACCTGATTTCCTTTCACATGGATTGTGATTATGTGACACATTTAAATTACCAGAAAGACCTCGTGGCCTCCAATAAATGATGGCATACTTTTTTTGTAAATGGAATGACTGTACAGACCGGCGGGAAATAGCGCCACACGTTCACCAAGCGTGACAATTATGGCACATTCTTCCTAGAATGTGGTTGGCGGCAGTTTTATTGTTACAGACTAATAAAGAATTTAAAAAAACTTGATTCTTAGCTATATTAATAGTATAGTTGTAGCACGAATGGGTCGGTTCGACCGGGGAAGGGCCACGCTCTCACAGAATACCAGCGTAAATAGTAGCTTAATGCTGCTGTGTTTCGTATGGTGAGTGTAGAGAACCGGAGACCCTTTTTACTGGGAACGATGCATTCCATCTTAGTCCTCACGGGTGACAATGCATCTGCATTTTGATTCGTAATCAAAGATAGAAGTAGATGTCTATGTATGCTCGTTTGTCACGCTAATTCTATTATAAAAAAATTTTTACGTGGTAGAGCCATGCTGCAGCTATATTAATAGTATAGTTGTAGCACGAATGGGTCGGCTCGACCGGGGAAGGACCACGCTCTCACAGAATACCAGCGTAAATAGCAGCTTAATGCTGCTGTGTTTCGTATGGTGAGTGTAGAGAACCGGAGACCCTTTTTACTGGGAACGATGCATTCCATCTTAGTCCTCACGGGTGACAATGCATCTGCATTTTGATTCGTAATCAAAGATAGATGTAGATGTCTACGCTAATTCTATTATAAAAAAGTTTCACTCTACAGTCTACTCATCTCTATCTACTACATAGTATAAAACAAAGTCGCTTCCCGCCGTCTGTACGCTTAGATCTTTTAAACTACGCAACAGATTTTTATGCGGATTTTGTTTTCATCATTAGACAGAATAATTCAAGAGGAAGGTTTATATGTATAATACATGTATATTATATATTATATAATTCTTCTGTCCGTGTATATGTGACTGAACTCTTCCTAAACGGCTGGACCAATATTAATGAAATTGTGTGTACACACACTATTTATATATGATGAAGTTGATTAGATAATGGTGTAGATCCATAATTAGACCCGGTAGGTGGTGTTTTTGTCGAGATCCAGAAATCAATCGTGTGAAGCCGGGGCGGACCGCTAGTAGGTATATATGAACATCAATTAATTACGTGTAAGAAGTGTATTGAAGCCCACATCATCTAGTAGTTATCGTAAGAGGCGACAGAAAGAAACAAATTAGGAGATGTCTAGCAGCGTCTCCCTAATAAGTACTAAAAATAAAAACTGCGGTTGCTTAACTTCTTGCCAAGCACGGTAACTATGGCAAATATTCCCTCTATGAGTCAATCAAAATACAACGGTAACTATAAAAAGTACATATTAAAAGTAAAGTTTAACAGCCTCTATGCCTCCCACTGCTGGGCACAAGCTCAGGCCTCTCATTTCTATGAGGGTTATACAGCAATTATTATTCCATCTCGCTGCTACAATATGTCAACGAATTTACTTGCACTGAAAATATTTTATTTCTTAGACATATAAGTTTCCACACATGTCCTACCGATGGCCATCGTTCTTTATTGTGGGCATTGGTACTAGACGTGTTGTTGTCAGGTGTGCGATACAGGAGTTCCTAACGGAGGCGGAAATGATTTCCTTTACCGCCGAGCACGTGATAAATCTCGAAACCCTGTAGTGATTTATAGTTGAGCGCTTTGCCCCTGAGCTACTAAGGTTATTCAATACAAGTATTATTCTTGAGTAAGTGGGCAAACAAGTTTCATTTGAAGTTAGCAAAAAAAAAATTCAGGGAAGGCGCCCATAAATTATCTAATTAAACAAAAAAATCATCCAAATCGTTAGATCGAATTCCGAGAAACTAATGATATATAATATACTAATATATACGAGAATTACATTTCACCGTGTGGGGGCTCTGTAAGAAAATCCACTGTCCCATTTCGACCCGTGGGTTTCGTAAGCGACGACAGAGGGAAACTGAAGTAGGAGATAAACACCAGAATGTAGCATGTAGCGCCTGCCAAGCGTGGCAACTATGGCAATATCCTCTCTGTGAGGGAATCTATGGGGAGACCCATGTTCAGCAGTGGACTTCAATAAGGATATGTATGGATGAATAGATATATTTTTTTATATAGGATAGGGTGACAAACGAGCACACAGTCCACCTGATGGTAAGTGGTTGCTGTGGCCCATAGACATCTACATTTATCCTCGTTTGCGAATCAAAATGCAGATGCGTTGTCACCCGTGAGGACTAAGATAGAATGCCTCTTTTCCAGTAAAAAGGGTCTCCGGTTCTCTACACTCACCATACGAAACACAGCAGCATGAATTTGCTATTTGACGCTGGTATTCTGTGAGGCGTGGTCCTTCCCCAGTCGAGCCGACCCATTCGTGCTACAACTATACTACTAATATAGCTGCAGCATGGCTCTACCACGTATAAACAAGAATGGTCAAGATATACAAGAATGGTCGTTTAAAGTGTTAAGATAAATAAAGTTACGTGATCATCCATTTTAGTTTAAATTTGTAATAAAAAATAGTATCTAATTAAAATCTAACTGAGAGGTAGGAGCTCATAATAGTGTACTCCTACTTCTGTGCTCTAGTGTGCTTCTACCTCTCAGTTAGGAAATATCCTAGCCAAAATATTTGGCTGAAATTAGATACCTATCTCTTATTTTAACATATTCAAAGACTTTTCACTTTTAAACACTTTATCTACATTGATTGCTTGATCACAAAGAAATCTCCTATTTTCTAAGTTCCATTTACTTTAGCGACATCAATAACAAGAAATACATAAAAAATAAACATATAGTTAAATGTGATTAATTGATAATTATGAAAACGTTCAATAAGCGTATCCTTTCCTTTCTTCTCTCTTCAATCCATAGTAACCCAGAAGGCACCACATAGTCGCCACTAATAACAGTCCTAACGAATCTTGAACAATAAAGTTACTTGAGTATCCATTCTCCATTAACACAGCTGCGCCATCTTTCAAACAGTTTGTTGTTACGTTTGTTGGACAATCTGAAGAAAAGACAGACCTTAACTATATAATATTATACTATACACGTAATAGAATTTGCAGTTTTTTTGTCAACATAAGCGAATCCATTTCCGTCAATGAACAGGCAAAATTCTAAGCAAACTAAACAACAAATAATTTAAAATTAAAAATTTTGTACAGCCGACTTTATTATAAATTATTAAGAATAACTCAAAAACTATTGGTCAGACCTTGATCAATTTATATGGGACTACATGTGAAGCATCAGCTTTCAAATAAAGAAAGAATCATCGAAATGGGTTCGCCCAGTAAAAAGTTATGAGGTAACACACATAAAAAACATACAGTCGAATTGAGTACTGTCTACTTTTTGAAGTCGGTAAAGAAGCCTTTAATTCTTTTTTATAAAATCCAAAGTGACAAACGACCCTACAGTCCATCTTACGGTAAGTGGAGCAGTCATGGACACCCGCAGACAACTTCAAAGAAAGAAGTCCACTGATACGTCGTCACTTCTTAGGACAAAGATAGAAAGCCT